TACTACTTCAGAGGGCAGATGAAGCACTGAATAGGTCATGCCATTACACCGCATAGAGCGCCGAATGTGTAATCAGAAACGAAAAAGGAGTATTTTAACCTTGGTTTTTAAGCTGTACTGGCGAAGTGTATTTTCCTTCAAGACGGAGAACACTTTGTGGCATTAGTCTGACCTTCGCACGTCTTAACACATTTAACAGTTGAAATAACATATGCACATATCTTTCTTTCTTTACGGCATTTAACTAAGCACTATTTTGTCAAATAACAGCAATAACATTTTCCCTAAAAGCTTTTCTTCTTGTATAGGATCGCTTGATAAGATTCATCCTTTAATTTTTAATTTTTTTTTAAATAGAAAAACCGCAGTTTTAGGTAGATATTCTGTGAACATCGTTTTAGTTTTCGAAAAAAGTAATTAAACAAAATAGCGGCTCAGTCTCCGAATTACTCTAGCTTAGACTCACTACTTATGTATAAAGACAGATGTTCCTAACAATAATGGATCGGCCAACTTTTCTGGTTTTCTTTCATTAAGGCAAGTTACTCTAACAAGACTATTTTTTAGTTTAGTAATCCTAGCGGACAAAGATCAAAAATTTGATTTTTCACACAACACCACGGAATAAAATTTCACAATTGTTTCACAATTATCATTTTGCTTTCTTACGATATTATAATCGTTTGTCGATCGAGACGACCATTTTCATAAAGTTTTTTGTTATTGTTCTGGTTCTGCCTCTTTATTGGTTTTCTTTTCCTAATATTTTTATAGACCATCATTATACGGTGTTTAATTTGCATGCATGTCCCTGTACGGAAAAAGGGAGTTTAATCTTCTTCGTTTCCAACCTTTCTTTTTTCCATCCAGGAGTTACTATTGAAGAATGGCTTGACCTTAGAAGAGTCTTTATAAGGCCAGGATGATTAGTATGAAAACTGTGAATTAACTCCTTGTCTTATTTTGTTTTATTTTAATAAATCATGTTCAAAGTTGGACCAGGCCTGGCCTAGTGGTTATTGTGCCGAACTGTGCATCGAAGGAACCACGTTTCACGTCTTGATGACGCAAAATCATTTTCAGTACTTTTATTCCGTGGATGCGCTAAAAGAGAAGGTCAAGTGTCACAAGTTAATTAGAGTAACCCAAAAAGTGAGGGGGTGCCGTGGACTAACCGCTTTTCTTCTTGCCTAAGAAAACATAATTGTTTTTTTAGCGTGAAAAACCAATAAGTGTTCGAAGTTATATTTTTGATATAATGTCAGAGTTCCTATTAATTTAGGTTAATTTATTACTTACTTCTTTCTTTGTTAGGATTTTAAGTCATAAAATCCGAACATACTATTTCTTGGAGTCATATAAATACTCTACATTCTTCGTGAACTAGAAATAAGAAGCCATATTAAAGTTGTCCTGTCGTTTTCAAGTAGCTGTGTTTCTTTCTTTTAGCGCAAAGCTACGCAATATGCTGTACACACACTGTACGTAGCGGGAAATCGAACCCCGGATTTCAACACTGTAAATCCATAAACTTAACGCTGCCTCATGAGGGGTCAAGTGGCAGTAAAACTTTTATAATCTGAAGAATGACATTAAAATAATTTTGAACATGTTTTGAGCCGTAGAGTGAGATTATAAATACTTTGACATGACGATATATTTGTTTATTTGATGTCAGAAAGGAATTGCCTTTCTAGATTTTATAAACTGGGTCTAGTAACCCAACATGTTCTTAAACCTTTAATCTTGATGTAGACCAGTTTACTAACTCATACAATAGTGATTCTACTATGTATAGTTTTTCTTTGTTGATCAGTGTTATGAGTGATTTAATCTCTCTAGTTGTGTATAGCTTTAGAAGTGCTAGAGTTAAGTGACTGGCGATAATATATTTAGATCTACTAAAATGAATTCCAACTAATCGTAACATTTTTATTAAAATTTAAAGAAAAATACAATCACACAAAATCCTGAGATAAAAGGGATACTTTCGGAGAGGCTATGAACACGTAACTACAAGTCCGAGAACTAAGTTATACGCTGATGAAATTAAAACCCTTGTTTTGTTTTGTTTTGTTTTTTTGTGTGCTCGAATTTCTTCTGCTACCGAAGTGTTTCGACAAAATTTTCCCCGTTCAAGAAATTTGTAATTTACATAATTTACATGACTCCCTATAAGAAAATTGATATTCTATAGCATAAAAGAACACCTAGTCTAATCATGTTCTATTCCACATCTCCCAACAAGTCTTTAATTACCAAACAGCTCAGAAATGGAATTTTAGTTTTACATTTTATGATAAAAAGAGTAGCGTCCAAGTATGGAGAAAGCAATTTGGAAAACTTCCAGCTGGCACTATTCTAATTGCAAATTGATGGCTCGCTGCTCTTGGTAGGTACCAAGTTCTAATCGTAGCTATTATATTTTCATCTTTTGGTTCATTCCCCTACTTAGACAGGGGTGCTTACACCCCTAGTCTGATTTCGGCCTCACCATTTAGCCAATAAAGAGTTACATTCTAAAATAATTGCTTAACAGTAGGGTGGATGTATTTTGTTTGTTTGGTTTAGCGCAAAGACACACGTTAGGCTATCTGCGCACTGTCCACCGTAGGGAATCCAATCCGGATTTTAGCGTTGTAATTCCGTAAACTTACTGCTGACCCACCGGGGGACAGAGGAGATGGAATATGCCTTTAATTAATCCAACATCGGGAACATATTTAATTCAATTATAAATTCTACCTGATTTAGTGTTACTCCAGTTTATAACATGAGATGTTTTCGCCACTTCTTCTGCTAAAAAAAGGTCGCTGGTCCAGGGCTGGAAATAATAAGTACTATACAGATGTGTTGTAACTCTAAATAGTTGAAGCCTAGATGGCGTTATTAGAATGTAAATGATTATGTGGGTGTATAAGTTCCAACCTTGCTTTTATGGTTACTCGTGAAGATGGTGTCATAAGACACCGAAACATATGTAGTCTTTTTTTAGAGAAAATTCCTATTTTTAATAACTAACTATTTATTGTGTAATTATTTTAACGTTGTATTCCTTTTAATTATAAATAGATGTTTTACACAAGTGTCGTTTTAAATAATTTAAAATGTAATTATTCTGTTTTTAGTGATTAACAATCAATATGAAGTTGTCAAACTGTCATTTCAATTTTTATTTCATATTTACTCGAGATTACAATAAGTATTTTATCAGTGAGAATGAGCATTGGCTGGCTACTTTATTAGGACTACCATCTAATATCAAGTTGAAAGGTACTCTATTAGGACTATCACCTAACATCAGGTTGAAAGGTACTTTATTAGAACTACCACCTAATATCAGGTTAAAAGGTACTTTATTAGGACTATCATCTAATATCAGGTTGAAAGGCATTTTATTAGGAATATCACCTAATATCAGGTGGAAAGGTACTTTATTAGGACTACCACCTAATATCAGGTTGAAAGGTACTTTATTAGGACTACTACCTAATATCAGGTTGAACGGTACTTTATAAGGACTACCACCTAATATCAGGTTGAAAGGTTAAGCCACTTTTCTCCGAAATACCATCTCTCAGTGTTGAAGAAAAATTTACAAGATGCTTGAACATGTCTTGTTTAATAATAAATGACCTATTCAGCCAAGAGTATAAACAGGAATCAGTTCACTGCTGTCGGAAGAAAGATAAAACGTGACAAATGTGATGTTGGAGCTCGTTACAAAATTGCTCACTTGGATCGAGATCGAGTGATTGTACTGGTTAAAAAGAAATGACAGAAAATACCGTCATGTTCACAAAAACAATTGCTCTATATGCATAAATTTCACAATGTTTTATATTAGTAGAGGTAAAACGTGCTTACATAACGAATCCTAATAAGTATGCTGTTTAAAAATATGTTTATATATTATGGAGGTTATAAAACAACCTTCGATAAAATATATTCTACATCATATGACACAAAAAGTTTGAAAATCGGGGGAAATACAAACGTACGATTCGAGTTTGAAGAGGATCACATCGTGTCGGATGTAGGTTTGTATGTACTGATTAGGCAAAAGTGAAGAGATTACAGCCTAATTTCAATGTATTGTATTCTCAGACCTTACGTATGTATAACATTATACGAGTTAAAATTTCAAATCAATCTAAGGTGCCTAAAAAGTATCTTCTGAAAACCGTTCAATGCAGTAGAGATGATGAGTTAAATCCGACCCTCAAACATTTGAACATGGATGTAGACAAAAGGTTAATGTCAACTTAAGTCAAATCCCGATACTTAGGAAGGGGGATAAATTAACGCCAACCTAAGTATGTAGGTATGTTGATTGACTTCTTTTATCATCACTGTTCTAGAAGCAACACCAATTTTCTAATGGTTTGCTACGCATTTGAAAAGTTCTAAAGTAGATACAACTTCAACATTTTAGTGTTCTGGCGTTAATCCATAACTGTGTTTCTCTAGGGAACTCCCTTATGAATTTTGATGTATTTACATGACAGCATAGTTATATCTACTTAAGTGAGCGACGTGATCTATACTGTGAAGACTTGGTGAAATAAAATGAGCATTCGTCATTTTTATTCAGCCTAATACAATAAATATTGATATCTCGTAAACGACTAATTTTACATCGTATTTTCGACAAACTGAAAATTCTATACAAGTATATAACTAAAAGATCCCGCCCTTTAAAGTTCTTTTTGTTTTGATCATTTGGTGTGATAGTTAGTAAACAGTTTTGTTATGTAACAGTTGTACATGATTAATTGATAAGGTAAGTAGCATGGTGACGCAATAGGTAAATGTAATCCGCTGGTTGTTGGTCATGTAGGATGTTGAGCATCAAAAAACCTTATTTAGACTATAGCAACTTAGCTAAAAACGTACATTGCCTATATACTATAATATATACACTGAAGAGTTTGTATTAAATATAAATGTGAATATACAATTTAAAGAGAAACCCCCTTTGATACCTTGTGTTTGCCAAGTTGTAGTTTGTTCCTCCGTGGACCAGCGGTAAATTTGTGGACTTTTAACACTAAAATCCGGAGTTCGAGTCTTCGCGGTGGATAGAGAGATGAGATACTCCATTCTGTGGCTTTGAGCTGAACAAACAAAATTACGTTGTAATCGCTGATATTCTAGTATGTGCATGTTACAACAATTAATCTAAATATTTTTAGAATTTCACTTATGTTAACTAAATGACAGTTTTATTCTTTCTATAAAATTTGTTGATGCTAGATTCAACTACTATTAACAAATAATTGTCCATTCATTTACCCTGGCATTCACTCCTTAAAAATTATAAAAAGATAATGACAGTTGGGAAATTTGTCCAGTGAAATGATGATTAGATGACACTTTGATCCACTTTCGTGTATTTTCGTCAGGTCTGTGGCTCTTCTACGTGCCGGCAGTTGAATCTGCAAAACCAATTTCCATTATCCCAGAAGAAGGCAGGCCCACCTGTCTAGAGCGCTAGGTTTCTTATGTGTTTTTTTAATACCGCGAAGGATACAGGAACGTCTACATTATGTCTGAGCTAAAGGGTTCGTAGTAACCAGGAGCTTTTACATCCAGCCAAAAAAGATACATCAAAATGTGGATACCAATAACAAATAGCTTCTACAACTAACTTGTTGAATGAGAATGCACAAGCGCCAGTGCATCTAGCCCAAAGTGTTATCATACGACGAGGTAGTAGATGATATGAGAGTTACATGTCTGAGAAATATCTACAGCAAGATGATAATACACAAACTTCCTATGACATTTGATATAACACACTTCAATAGATAAAAGGAAATGTTTGTTTCAGTTACCACAAAGTGTAAGAGTGGTACCAATATCATGTACAAAGTCTAGAACTTGATAATCCTGCAATTTTAGGCAATGATCACTAGTACAAACTCAAAGGACTTATTTACCGAGGAACAGTTCTATATGTCTGACAGGTATTTAGTAGGATCATCCCAATCATGCCTCACACTGCTATCAGTAAAGTAAGTGCACACATTCTTGTGGAGATGCTATACAACACATTCCAGGTCGGTGAGCTTTCTTCAATTGCTCGAAAAGTTAAGGGTGCCGGAAAGGCTCCTATAAAGAAATTTATGTCTTAGTTTTTTGAATTCCACCAAAGATCGAGAAAGATCTTAATTTAAATTACGTAAGACCACTTGTCCAAAAACTGTTTGCGGGTGGCGAGGTTATTTCAATCCTTGTTGCTTATGACACGCATATTTACAATGAAAAGAGCAGTAATTATAGTTTCTATCGTAGAAACTTAACAAGTGCAAACACAGCCTTTGGTGGAGTCCCTGATTGTCCTGGTCACAGATGGACGTATCCCTATAGTCTTGAAGGACCTTCATTCTTGATGGCAAGAACAATTACACCTCCATGCTGTTGCGTGCGATGCCATGAAACGTAGAATAGCGGAGTGACTTCACCAAGGATATTTACTTTTCTAGACTGGGATTTCCATAACTACATAAAATTCCTGTAAGATATGGGCATCAAAACTAGAAACTTGTTTGAACTGGGATTTTGCTGACAAATTTATACACATGACATAGATGGATAAATGACAACACTATGGATTAAATGGAGTGCTACGCAGATTTCCTGAAGCTAAGGTTTGTTTTGAAGAGATACTATGTAATGCACAAATAACATACACTGTTATTTTGATTGTCCATTATGTTGTATGAGCTATATGATAACGTAAATGTTTCCATATATCATCCAGAAACCACGTGTACATTATGAGATTTGTTAATAAATAAATAACATTTCTATATAATAATTTCAGAAAGAATTTACTCTGAGTAACATTAGATTCACACGCATTAGTGTATTTTATATTATTGTTGAATTTCGAGTAAAGCTACGCAAGGGATAGCTATGCTAGCCGTCCATAGTTTAAAGTGGTAGACTAGATGGAAGGCAGCTAGTCAACATTACCCCCCGCCAACTCTTGGTCTACTCTTTTACCAACGCTCCCTCGGCTGAAAGGGCGAGTATGTTTCTTAACAGGACTTGAGCCGGCGACCAGCAACTATCAGCTATATTACTATCTACAAGGATATAGCATGTCATCAGCAGTCCATAAAACCTGTCACTGCATTTGTGCAAAGTTTTATCTAATTCTGAGTTTGTTTATTTTAGGCCCTTACTGACGACAACTGTCTTGCTTAATGAACTACATGCGTGAGTCATTTAATTGGACGGAAAGATGGGACAGGAATTGTAAAAGAAATAAGTTAATTAAAGAAAATGAAATGATAAAAGAAAACAAGAAAAACTTTGAAAACACAAAATAAAATATTTAAATGACTTAGAAAACATTCAATAAAAAAAGAAGTTTCGCAGCTACAGAATGTTCTAAAATTAGGTTGTCATAGGCTTAAGACTATGCACATTTACAGAATATGCTCAAAATATCCCCCTCAACATCAATTCAATACTGAAGGCTTTTAGTCCAGGTCTCGATCGTACGTTTTTTCAATCCTAATTTCCATTATCTAAAAAATACGCAAATTAACATGAAACGTGTTGTACGTTTTCTCAATGTTAGAATACCAACCAACATTTGAGGCATTCTGTCGAATTAACTAGAGAAATTATGTGAAATATTACAAAATCATCAATTAATATAAGGAACTAATTCATCATTTAGATAAAAAAAAAAGAAAATTATAAATAAAGATTTCAAGTCACAATTTAAAATCTACAAGGTCAAAAATAGAGATTTCTTAAACAAAATTAAATAAAGCACCTATTTGCAAATAGTCTTGATCTAGTAAAGTTTATCTTTCAAAACGTATTCGAGTTATTGGGTATCTATCTGGGTTGATTTTCAAGGTTCAGTGACTAAATGACCAATGAGTTATTTAAACAATGAAAAACAAGTAATTTTTCTGTATTTAATCTTTCTGTTGATTTTCAACATGATAACGATTACTTAATCAGAGTTGTTAATCAGCATTACGTTTTATATGTCAAGTAATATATATATTTTGGTTCGTTTTGTTGTTTGAGATAATAAGAGATTAATGAAAAATCCTTTCTTTCTCCTTTTAGACTTTCTACAAACTGAAAATATCATGCAGTGCCTGCGCGGGTCACGAGGGATTATGGTTCTCCTCTTCTATATTGTGTGTTTGTGGACAGAGGTTGCTACTATGTGTCCCATGCGTTGTAATTGTGATGATCAAAGCCTGAGAGTTCTATGTCGTGATGCTAATTTGGATGTGGTCCCCATTACTTTGAACCCGGAACTTCGCGAACTTATCTTAAAGAATAATCACATCAAGGGTATAATGGCTTCCTTCAGTGTATACCATAACTTAAGATATTTAGATGTTTCACACAATCAGTTAGTACGCGTGGGAGAATACAACTTTAAGATTCATGGTCACCTAGAATTTCTTCTCTTGAGCAGCAATATGATATCTTCCATTCAGAACAATTCTTTTGTTGGTCTCGAGCACCTAAAGGTACTACACCTAAATGAAAACTTCCTAGAAGACATACCAGCAAAGATATTTATACATTTACGAAGTTTAGAAACATTGGACCTTTCGCAAAACAGAATTACCGCCATTTCAGAAGACGCGTTTGAAGGACTTCAAAACATTCGAGGCTTGTTTCTAAGAGATAATAAGCTCAACCGTATTCCTTCCGTTGCATTACATAAAATTCCGACATTGTTAAAATTAGATTTTGGACTGAATACGATAAGTGAAGTCCCAAAAGGGGCGTTTACCTTCCTCAGAAAACTCGAAGAACTATCTTTAGATGGATGTGGGCTTCGAAAAATTCACTCTGGAGGTTTTCAGCGATTAAACTCGGTTATTGTTCTTAATCTTCACGATAATGAACTTAAAGAGATTCCTACTTTAGCATTATATAATGTCCGTCGTTTAGAAGAGCTTAATATAGGCCAAAACAGTTTTCAAGAACTTAAGCCACGCTCTTTTCGAAAACTTAAGAATTTAAAAATCATTAAAATAAACGGCTCTCCAGAACTTACCAGCATACGTAAAGATGTTTTTCTTGATAATAATAATTTACAGAAACTTTTTATAACTCACAATAAAAACTTAAATCATATTGAATCAAAATCCTTTGATGGGCTTCCCAACCTAAGATATGTAAGTCTTCGCGGAAACGCCTTCACAACTTTCGATTATGACTTACTTCCTTGGGATGAGCTGACTGTGTTAGACGTCAGAGACAACCCGTTGTCTTGCAGCTGTAAGATATTGTGGTTGTGGAAGTTATTAATAAACAAAAATATTTCATCAGAGGCTCCCAGTAACATTGCGGAAGTTCATTGTTTAAACCCCCCTAGATTAAAAAATATGTTGTTGGCAAAAGTTACAGAAGAACAACTTGGGTGTTACATAGAGAATAGGAGACAACAGATGATTGTTGGTATAATTGTAGCTGCTATTATAGCAACTGGTGTCTTCGTTTTTCTGGGTTTTCGTTATAGAGAGAAGGTTGTTGTGGCCATAATGAATAAGTGGACCACTAGAAGGAAAGAACCGCATTACCAGAAAACAACCTGCATGGAGGACGAAATCGCAGTATTACAAACAACTTCTGAGCAGTCTCTCAAAATGACACCAGTCACAGAGTTGTAACTTCAGTAGAAAAATACCTCGGATAAACTAAAGCCCTTGCAGCAGTTCACAGCCTGCAAGTTTTTTGACGTCACATCTTCTTCTGTGTTGATATAATAGCACACTTTAACAGATTTGATGCTTTCTTGGGTAACACTGGATGTAGTGTTTTGTATTTTATTCTCAAGGATAACGTCATAACTAATTGTGTGTTGTATAAGGTTATGAACAATTAAGCTTTCGAAAGAAATGATTCGATAGCTATTAACATTTTTATTATAAAAAGTAACTTATGGAAAAAAATACTCCAGACAACAGAGTTTGTTTAATTAGTTCTCTATTTCTATATTAGTAAATACTGTGGATAAATTTAAAATGGTGTTTATTCACTATAAAAACAATGATCACTCAATCCTGCTACGACTGAAACGATGTTTCTTATTGTGAATAGATATGGTCATTAGGTATCGTAACCGTGTTTAAACCCCCAGATGAAATAACTTGTGATCAAACTGTTAATGCATTCTGAAAAAAAAATGTTTTTTCGATGTTGGTTAGACGGTCTAATAAGACTACAATAATCTGAAGTAAACGATTGGTCCTATGAAATATAACGTTTGTGAAGCCTATCACTGTAATGTTTATATTATGTTTTAAGGTTAATTATTTACACATGAAAAGCAGATATAGTAATATTTTTCCCTTATTTTAGATACCATTTACTAAAGTAATAGTTTGGATGTATAAAAGTATGTTTAGCTTTTGGTATATTTTTTCGTCTCTATAAAAAGTATGTACGAGTTCTACTGAAAAAGATCCTATATATAGATAAAAATAAAACTAATGTGTTTTACCAGAGAAAATTTCACTTTCTTGTTGTTTCTCCTTTATTACAACATTTACGTGGTTCCTACATTTTCCTTTACTACACGTTCAAATTCTAGTTACTTTACCTTTCACTACAAGTTTTACGTTTGTGTTACTTTTTATACTACCAGTCTTATGTCTTTGTTCCTTTTAATTACAATATTAGTTTTACGTTCTTGTTCTTTGTAGTAAACGATAAAGGATTTTCAATGTTTTTGTTATTTCTTTTTACTATAACTTCCTCGCTCTTGTTACTCTCCTTTCTACTGATTATTATTGGTACATTTTATTGAACATTTCTTTATCATTACAAGTTATTTAACGCATTTTATTTGAACGTGTTTCATCTACAAAAACATGCCTGTCTGAAAGATATTAGGCACATAACTCTTTAAGGATTTGTTATTAGATAGTGCAAGTTAAGTAAGAAGTTCTAAATATTATGAAATATTTCAATTTAAATTATGAAATAATTAAATGTATAAAATCTCACTGATCTTGTTAAGCATTATTTTTAATGTCATTATTATAAAAACATCATTACTGCTTATGTTTGAACGCAAAGATATACCACGCGTTTTATCTTTTATAACGCAAAAGTGAACTAAAACTTGTAACTCCGAACCCTTTTAATTATAGGAATTTAAGGTAATGCTGATACCTTGTATGAATGACACCCTAGTTACGAAAACAACGCTGAAGCCTTGTAGATTTGATATTATAGTTACAAAAGTAACGCTGAATCATTGTAGTGTTGACGCCCTAGTTACAAATATAACGCTGAAACCTTGTAGTGTTGACGTCCTAGTTACAAGAATAACGCTGAAGCCTTGTAGGGATGACACCCTAGTTACAAAAATAACGCTGAAGAATTGTAGTGTTGACGCCCTAGTTACAAAGATAACGATGAAGCCTTGTAGTGTTGACGCCTAAGTTACAGAGGTAACGCTGAAGCCTTGTAGGGTTGACACCCTAGTTACAAAAGTAACACTGAAGCCTTGTAGAGTTGACACCCTAGTTACAAAGGTAACGCTGAAGCCTTGTAGTATTGACGCCCTAGTTACAAACGTAACGCTGAAGCCTTGCAGTGTTGACGCCCTAACTACAAAGCTAAAGCTGAAGTGTCGTAGTGTTGACCTCATAGTTACAAACGTAGCGTAATTAACGTTGGAGAAGTAAAAAAAAAAGGTGAAGAAAACTAATTTGTTTAACTTTTCAAATGCACTCAATAAAAATGGGTTTTTGATTGGCGGTACTACAGAAAACTCTTTATGTTACTCAACCTGTGAAGTTGATATTGATAAAATACAGAGGTAAAAATATCCTAAAAACATTTCGTGTAATACAGAACATCAAAGTTACAAAATTCCTTAATCTAGCAAAGTGGTTTAGATGTGCACGTAGGTCAATGTGTAAGCTTTAAAAAATCATGTTCGATGTTCTACTTACCCACAATATTCTGGCTAAGACCTAAAAAGGCTTTCAATAGTAATTTTTTCAAACAATTTTAAAGTAGGCCAAATTGAATTTTCCAATTTTAAACGCATATGAATAAACAACAAGTATATAATTACCGCATAACTATACAACAAAAGTGACATTTTAAATTAATTGGAAACCTATATAACAAAATAATGACACAAAGCAGGTGAACCACATGCTCAGGCACGCTGACACGTACCGTATTTACCACCGGTATCTTTTTGGAATTAAAACAGAATTAAGAAATAATGAATTGAACTGTTACAGCTATTTTGTTTTAACTAGTGTGCAGTAATTAACAAAATAAGTTCGTGAAGGCTTAATTAACATTCGTGAGTATAATAAAGGAAGTACTTTATCTCAGTTTAGTCGCAATCCCACCTACGATTACTTTCATCTTCACTTGCTATGCAATAATCAGTTTATACAATTCTCTAGGGTCGCACTGCTAATATTGTACTGTGGCTAAAATTGAAGACTAACTCTTAAAGTCTCAAGAGTGTTTGAACGCTAGAACAGGTTTTAATGAGAAGTTGGAATTGGAATTTTCAACTTGAATGGTACTTTATACATATATAGACGGCAAGGACAAGGAACTCTTAAGATTCAGATGTAGCTGGTCATCATTGTGAGCTACTGACCAAAGAGCATGCAACAAGTTTGAATCACTCGCGCTGAAAGGGCTTTCTTCATTCGGCTCTTTGGGCGAAATATGAAATTAACTGTCCCTTTTATAATACGCCTCAAACTGCAACTGCCGGTTGTGTGTTCAGTGCCAACACTTCTTGAACCTGGGATCCTTTGATCCTCAGCCCAATAAGCTAACCACTCGGCTCCCCAACCCTGCCCCACTGATTTTTTATGATCTGACTTACTGAGTTCACTAAAACTTTCCTCTGGATTCCTAAAATGTAAACCATGCTATCATAAAAACATATGGTCTAAAATGTTTCTCTAGGAACTCTGTAAGATTTCAGACTATATTAACGTTATTAGGATAGACACAATCAAATGTTTACTTTAACCACAAGCCACAGTTATTACTCAGTAATACATTGCATTACAAAACTACATATAGTTTTTGGTTTACTTATTGATAAGCACAAAGCTATACAGTAGGATATCTGTGCTGTGCTCAACGCTGGTATCGTAACTCTTGTCTTATCGTGGTAAACTCTCAAATTTACGGACTTACACCGCTAGAAACCTGGTTTCGATACCCGTGGTGGGCAGAGCACAGATAGACCATTGCGTAGCTTTGTGCTTAACTTCAAACAAAGAAAAAAAAGTTACGCTGGTACTTATTTGTGAGTGACGGGAAATGTCTGTTCTAAATATTAGCCTCTGAAAGACAATGGAGAAGGATAAACAATAATTGTAGTATCTATTTAATGATTTATTATCAATGATGTCCAATTTAGAAACAATGAAATTTAACTAGTAAACATTATCACTTTTGGAGTCAACACCTGAATTTTATTGATAGTCAAAAATAATTATATTTTAAACTGTATTGTAAGTGAAGTTTTAGTAAACAGGCTTTATCAATATATGAAGAAAGCTAAATATAAAAATGCATGTTTATTAGTCTCTGTTCTCATTTGGATCAACACTTCTAATTCCCGTTTCCCAGTCTTCGTTTGGATGTTATGCACAAGTACTAATTAATGCAGATAGTTGCTAAATGCTTCTGCAACTAAGTGTCCTCTTAAAGCTAAATCCGGGGATTGGGAAGGATTTCACCATATACGTATAATTATTGCGATTACCTGTTTTATACGACTAATTTTCAGGTTTCCAAGTTTATCATTTAAAAGATTATTTATACTTGGAAGTAAATAATAATTCTATGGAATATGAGCTAAGAAATGGCGAAGCAATATTCCTTTTTAGGTAATAACTGAAATGAAGTATCATGTATCTATAAATATCGTACTCTTCATAATACAGAGTTACCGAAAGATAAACGCATAACAGCTATTCAGCAGCAAACTAGAACATATTGAGTGCATTACAAACATCATACATGAAATACGTGTCAAATCTTTAAAATAGTTTCAAGATTGGTCTTGTATGTGCAATCTTGCAATGTCTATGTTTAATAGTAAATGTTATTCATATATATATATATATATATATATATATTCGGATGTTGGTGTACTTTGGTGACAGATTTTCTTGTAGGCAGATTTTGTTAAACAAGACCGATGTCTGTAGGTTTACGTTCTTCTTAGAATTCTTGTATAGCTTTCAAATGAATTGAAACAAAAAACTTATAAAAATATATCTCTTAAATATATTGTTAACTGATTAATCAGTAAATAAGATGGTTATTTATTTATATTTGGGTAAACTATACAACCTTGTTTGTTTATAATTAAGCACAAAGCTACACAATGGACTAACTGTGCTCTGCCCACCACGGGTATCGAAACCCGGATTCTAGCGTTGTAAGTCCGCAGACATACCGCTATGCCACTGAGGGGGGGGTCGAAAAAACTATAAAATAGTGAAAGATAAGAATAGTCGTTATTCTTACTAAAAAAACTTTTTTTACGCAAATATAAACATCACAATCACAAACGAAAAAAAGTATTTCTACCAAAAAAAAATACTCTTACAAGAAAATATAATATCAAAACTATAAAATAAGGGAAAAAATCATTTTATATACTTTTGAAATACACTCTATTTTTCCGAACGTTTTTCTATTAAACAAAATAAGCATCTTTAATTAATATTACATTTCCTATAAGAGACCAAGAATGACATATAACAGCCATTCTTCAAGAGCATATTAAGACTTGATCAACCTAGTCTCATAGTTCCAAAACTGACTTACCAACGAGTTTAACATCTTTTTATATGGAAGTTTTCAATAAATAATTACAAAGAAAAAAAGAAATATTTCATTGACATTTTTCGCCGAACTTAAAAGAGAATACGCTCAGTATAAACATTTGAAAAATAAATACGTTGATAATACGAAATTGATTACCCATTAATAAAAAAGAAACCTTTTCCCATGCCTAGTTATTTATTCTTAATATCGACTTATTATATGCGATGTTAATCGAAACTATGATTAGGTGGTTCTCTTTTGTATTATAATATAAAAGCTTGAAATAGTTTTGGATATTTCCAACAAAGAAAACAAAGGGTTGTAAGAACCGAAGCCACACGTATTAGAAGTGATGATGGAAATATATACGGAGAATCAGAAACAACGGATAATGGCAACTAGCTGGAGTATTTCCTGAAGGTACAAAAGTTATCACAGAAAAAAGTGAGTTAGTGGTATAAAGCAGCATTACGTTCTATGTGAGCTGTTTGTTCACAAAGATAATTAAATCTTCTTTTCATGCTGCCACATAGTTTGTCAATAAAAAACTGTTCAAAACTTCCTGTATTATTTTCTTCAATTCAGTCAAGCTGTTATCTTTTGACCTCCTCACTATTTACATAAGCTCATACAGCTTTAATGATATTCAGAAC